TGGCTGGGTTGGGTGGTGTTTTAAGGAATTGAACAAGGATTGGTTCTGTGAAAGGCAAGCACCCAATCATCATTACAACCCCTTGGAAGCACAACCTTTTGTTAACTTGAAGATGTAGTTTTCACGGGAGTGGTAGGTTTTTTTTTTTGTCTTTTTATTAAAAGGAAACTGATGGGCAAAACAAGATTGGGGACCTCTGAGTTAACCCCTACCAGATGTCCCTTTGAGAAATGTAAATATATCTTTAGAGAAGGACACTGAAAATTCCCAAAGGTCCCATGAGATGATATTCAGGAGGATACTTGCATAGCCGTCCAATGGAGCAGGAACCATCTTTCTATCCAAACCTACCCCTTATACAATGCTCAGGGGACCATATGAGATGCTGGGAATCGAACCTGGGTTGGCTGCGTGCAAGGCAAATGCCCTACCCACTCCAGCTCTGAGGCATAGAGTTTTAATGTTTTTTTTTCTTTTCTTTTTCTTTATTTTCCTTTTTTTCTATTTGGACAAGGTTACACTTGTTAGTATTCAGGAATCATCCCAGGAATTGCTCATGGAAGAAGATGTGGTGCCTGGGTTTGAAATGGAGTCAACTGCCTTTAAAGAACAGTGCTCGGTATACTGTACACTCACTCTTGCCTCCAGAAGATTTGAAAAAATGCTTATCATTGAGCTACAAAGTGTTACTTTAGATCCTTTTAGTGCCTAAAAAGGTAACTACTCAGCTTTATTTCAGGTACCAAGTCAAGAGTGGTTGGAAGCTGTATAGGTTGGACAGCAGCTCTAGGAAACTTAGTGTTCCTGCATCTGGTCTTCTCAAATAATGTGTACAATGCCCATGAAAGAAGAGTAATGGAGGAAAACTGGGATAAATAGTCCCAATGTACTGCTAAGTCAGCTTACAAAATGGGAGCCATAAGAGAGGTATATCAGGGCAACAATGAGCAAAGAGGAAGAGTACCTGGGTCCTCATATACTATGAGGAGTGAGACAAGAAAGAAAGGTGTGTACTGGAGGAGAAGATTAGACTCTGAGGCCCTATCGAAGGTTATCCAAATAAAAGACAAAGTCAAACTCTTCCTCACCACCATCTCTCCCAGAGAACCCTGATCCCATTACCAGGTGGTAAGCTACTTGAAGAGAAAGATTTTGCTTATGTCCAAAAAGTAAGCTGATGTTGATTTGTACATAAAAGTAAAACTAAGTGCCTGATACATAGTGCAACAGAAGGTCCAGCACTTGCCTTGTATATGTGAGACGCTGGGTTTGACCCCCAACCCCACAAAAATCCAAACACACAAACACTATTGATAAAAAGAAGGATATTTTCAGGGCAGGAAGATAGCTGAAAGGATTAGCATACAGGTTTTGTAGGCTGGATCTCCAGGTTCAAATCCTGGCAATAAGTAATCTCAAGTGTCCCCAGAACACTGTCAGGAGTAGTTTCCAAGCCCTGCATAAAAGAAATTCAAATTCAAAAATTACCTGCTAAACTGTTGCTAGTGATATATATATATATATATATATATATATATATATATATATATATATATATATATATATATGGCTGGAGTGATAGCACAGCAGCACAGCAGGTAGGGCATTTGCCTTGCATGCAAATGACCTGGCTGACCTAAGTTTGATTCCTCCACCCCTCTTGGAGAACCTGGCAAACTACCAAGAGTATCTTGCCTGCACGGCAAAGCTGGGAAAGCTACCCGTGACATATTTGATATGCCAAGCACAGTAACAAGTGTCACAATGGAGACGTTACTGTGCCTGCTCGATTAAATCGATGAACAATGGGAGGACAGTAACAGTGATATAAAGGTAAAGGTAAAGGCCCTCCCGTTGATCATCAATTTGCTCGAGCAGGCCCAGTAATGTCTCCATTGGAGACTTTGTTTTTACTGTGTCTGGCATATCGAATACTCTCGGTAGCTTGCCGGGCTCTCCGAGAGGGGCGGAGGAATCGAACTCGGGTCGGCCATGTTGGCCGCTTGTAAGGCAAATGCCCTACCCGCTGTGCTATCGCTCCAGCAACAGTGATATATATATGTATATATATGTATATATATTCCTATATATATTTAAGTATAACTAATAGCACAGATCTTTTTACCATATTTTTTTGCTTCTTTTCTGTAGACAACAGCAAATTAAGAAAAACGTGCCATGTGCCCAGTAAACTAAATACAATCCCTTATTATACAATTAACCAAAACACAGTTGTATGTAATGTAATTATCTAGACTACAATTACACAGAAGTAATGATGCATTGTAGATGGCAATGACTTTCATGTAATCAAAAATAATGAGAGCTTCCTTGATTAGAAATTAAAGCATCATAAGATATCCCTATTGATAAATGTTCCCACTATTGATCTACACTTTGCAGACAATCAGGTTGACTGATAGGCTAATGCTTCCCCTTGTTGTTAATAAAGACTACAGGTATCACAGCCATTCTGTATAAAATCTTTTATTCCAAGATCTCCAGTTTAGCACATTTTAATAAAGCACAAATTTTATTATACACTTTTATAGCTGGTCAAATGCAAAAAAATAAATAAATGATAATAATGAAATAAAGCAGAAGAGCTAGGAAGCCTGTATGATTTGTTGACAATTCCATGTGCTGTGGTATTACTGGAGAAACATGCACACATGTTCTAGCAAATTATATAAGTCACTGTGAGTGTTAGAGCTGCATAGCTGATGAATCTTGTGACTCTCTGTAAAGGTGTCTGCTAAGTTTATATCATAGTTCTTCTGGACTGGAATAGACATCTCTCTAGCTTCTAGCTGAATTTCATCTTTTGTAATCTTTTTTGCCTTTTGAATTTTGTTTGTTTCAGGGCCACACCTGGTGATGTTCAGTTTATTTCTGACTCTGCACTCAGGATGATTTCTTTAGCTCTGGGTCCATATGTAGTGCTGGGTATTAAACTCAGGTTGACTGCATGCAAGGCAGGAACCCTTCCTGATACACCAGATCCCTGACCCGTGGCTCATTTTCTCTTTCTTTCTTTCTTTCTTTCTTTCTTTCTTTCTTTCTTTCTTTCTTTCTTTCTTCCTTCCTTCCTTCCTTCCTTCCTTCCTTTCTTTCTTGGATTTTTAGCTCATACTGGATACTCAGGAGTTGATTCTGGCTCTGAACTAAAGAATTACTCCTGACAGTGCTCAGGAGATCATATGGGATGCCAGAGATTGAATCTGGGAGAACCCAAGTTGGCCATGTGCAAGACAAATGTCCTATATTCTGCACTATCACTGGCTCCTGATTTTCTTACATCCTATCCTTCTTACTGTTTCCTGAATACTCTTATTCTATTAAGAAAATCAGGTTAAAAGCCCAATTAATTCTCTTCTTAACCATGAAACCAAATTCTGTAGGGAAATACTCAAGCTTTTCATGATTAATACTGACCTGGAGCTTTCACCATTACACATATTACATTGCTGCATACCATGGGTTCCACAACAGTACATTTTATTAGATCTGAGATAGCACTAATTATAGATCAGATATGGTACTAATGGGCTGGAGCAATAGCAAAGTGGTTAGGACGTTTGCCTTGCATGCAGCCAACATGCCCGACCGGAGTTCAATTCCTCCGCCAATCTCGGAGAGCCCGGCAAGCTATTGAGAGTATCTTGCCCGCACAGCAAAGCCTGGCAAGCTACCCGTGACGTATTTGATATGCCAAACACAGTAACAGCAAAGTCTCCAATGGAGACATTACTGAGCCCGCTCGAGCAAATCGATGAACAATGGGAGGACAGTAACAGTGACATATGGTACTAACATAAACAGATGTGCCAACTAGATGATTACATACCATCATTTTAAAGTATGTGCTAATATTAAAGACTTAAAAACAAAAATGTGTGACTTGAAGTGATGAAATTCTTACAAGCCATGAAATTCTATTTCTTCATTATACTGTCTGTTATCTCCAGCCAACTCATCCTACATCAATAGCCCCAACCCTCAAACAAATTTTGTCCATGCTTTAAGTTAAGCTCACAGACACATCTAGAAAAACATCCTTATTTCATCCCTCCTATTCAAACTAAAAAGGTAACAGCATGGATCCCACAAAGAAGGATGCACTTCCCGATAATTTATTGTGCATTAATTTACTGTAATGACTAATATATTCCTTAATGAAAAATAACAGAAAACTTATATTGGAAACACAATGGCAAATCACAATTTATCCATTCATTTAATACATTATTTTTGACTATAGTGAATAAAATTGAAAGAATGAAAGAGAAATATGGGGTAGAGAATTAAACTTGCTATAAAATAAACAGAACTGATCTTCTTAATTTTCTACTATGCATCTTTGTGTTTTGAAACATTCTATATAAAAAAGTGTAAGATCCCAGAAGAAATAGAGACAGATTGAGCTGCAGTAAAATTTGTGGACTTCAGAGTAAAGTGCTTTTTTTCTCTGTCCAGGGATCTGGTATCCTTTGGCTTAAAGAAACAAAGGGTTAGTGGTAATGACAGTCAAGATCAACCACCCAGTGAGACATTGTGTACTCTTGGGCACTGCAAAGACCTCTGCTGTGGGATTCCCACAGGGCCCAGAGCTCATCTGCTTTGTTAGAAATGATACTTACTGCAATGAAGAATAAAATGATTCAGGAGAGAAGTAATTCTCCCCTTTTTTTGCTTTACTCTTAACTCCAGAGTAATCAAATGTTGTTTATGCATAAAATTTTAATCCTTTCACAAATTTGTATTTTGATTTAATTTGCATATCCCATTTACTGCAAGTCAACAAGAAGAGAGACTCAACTAATTTAAACCATTTTTCTCTGGGCCTGAAATCCTTTCAGAAATATTTTCCATTAGATGACTCAATTATGTTTAATGTGGCTAATGTCAGTGGATTAGAATTTTGCTTAAAGAAACTCATATTTAGAACAGTGAGAATGGGAAGGGTGAGGGAAGAACGGAGGAGAAGAGACAATAATTACCTGTCTTTGATGCTACACAGATCAATGTGTAAATCACTAAAATTCCCCAGGGAACCTTGCTGAACTGAAATGAGGTCCTTGGGCTGGTTATCAATAAAGATGAGCCTCATGCAGCCTTGGAAAGCTTTAATGGGATTTAAACATTGGGAATCGGTGAGACTGTCAGGGCACCCTGTGGGACAGAGAAAAAAAATGAAGAATACTGAAATGATCAGTCATTGCTTTGGCGACCTATTGATAGAAGACCTTGAAGTCTAATTATTTGGGTGCTTTTTCATTCACAGCTGTGCATGCGTTTTTGTTGTAAATTGTAACATTCTCGAAGAGGAGACAGATTTGGTACAAAATGGGGATACTTAATCATTGTAAAGAACAAAAAGCAAAATGTGTTAAAAGGAACACCAACAGTATTACATTTATCTCTTTCTTCTTTTTTCTTTTTTCTTTTTTTTTTTGTTGTTCATTTTTCTCCCCCTAATGTAAGCTACTTGGCAGTTTTTAAAAACTGGATATACTTCAGTTATCCCAAGGAAGCAGCATGCTTTAACTGCTTTAGGATTTCAATTCTTTCCTGAAATACACTCTAATTGCACAATTCAATTCTGAATTACACTTTCAAAGGAAATTGTGTTTGGGGTAAGGATGACAGCAGAGTAATTGTCTAGTTAATTGTTAGCATTAACAGGCCTAGTTCCTGAGAAAGGTATAGCCAGGAACATAACCAGAATTTTGAAATGATGCACAAAGCAACTATAAACACTAAAGGAACTAAGAGTTTAAATGCACATAGTTATAGCATGGCAATAGTATATGCAAAAGGTTAACACTATACCCTTTCAAAGAGTACTCCTGAAAAAAAAGGCATTGCACTAATTTAGCATAGCTTGTAACCAGGTCACAATTACTCATTAAGATGTGTAGAGAACAATGTAGGTATACGAGTGTGATTGCTCTTTATAAACTGCATCCTGATGGTTTTAATAGGTGCAGAACATATGGAAATGCAAGCTTGAAAACATAGCAATAACCCATAAATAATAGGGAATTATTTCAGCCATCTCTAATAGACAGTCACTGCTGGGCTAAAGCCCAGCAGCTGGTTAACAGCTCAGAGGCATACATACTATAAAATGAAGTGAGATGCTACAACTTCTAATTGAAGCTGTAGAGAGAATTTATGTAAGTTGACTATTATTACTCAAACTCATTTTTCACTTTCTTTAAGTTTACAGGCTACTTGTGGGGTGTTTGTTTGAACACCGTTCAAACAGAAAATAAATCTTCACCTTCTAAGTTCAATGCCCCTTTAGACCCACTTCTAAAAGCACTTCAACTAGGAGAGGGTGGCCATTATGTCTATCAGGCATTTTGGATGCTTACATACCATAATTATTCAGCATCATTTGCCCCAGAAATAAATACAACACTAGTTTTTCAATGCTGATGATCCATTGCATATTACACAAAATTAAACAGCTTGTGAGATAAATCTTTAGTGCCCAAGATCCTTCTTCTGTTGTTTTCATGCTGTATTTACTAACATACTTTTGTTGTCACTTGTGGGACATAGAGAACAAAGATCATGGGGATGAGGCCATGTTCTACCACATACACAAATTATTTCATATCAGCAATAAATACCAGTTTTATTATCAGTTAAATTTGAAGACTATTAAACACCTCACAAAATTACTCTCGGTTAAGTAATACACACAAAATATTTACAAATAATAAAAGTGCTCAATTCTGTATGGAATGTGTGCATGAAATTATAAAAAAACATTCATATAAGAATAAGGCACTTCCTATGGCCTTAAGGACACATCATAAAATTACTATTGAACACTATTTCCCTCTTAGTAGGTATATGTATCTGCATACATACAATTTTTTTTGCATGTTAAATCACAACTATATGTCATTGGTATTAAGTCAGCAATTTTAAATTTCTACTTAAAAAATTAGACTTAATAAATTTACATAAAATGTTTCTCTTCAGTTTCCTAAAGAAAAACAATCAGCAACAGAGACCAGGCCCAGTACTTGTCAATCTTTTAAAAAAGGTGAAGTTACTTATCTATTCCTGCCATGTAAGAAGCATTTTCCTTCTTATTTATGCTTTCACCTCACTAAACTCCCAGCAAATCTGCTTTGCTTCCCAATGGCCTTGATGAGAAAGCTCAGAGACCCTTCTTGTCTTGCTCAAGGACAGACACTTGTGATTTATATTCTTTGGATATTCTTTCTATGAAATAATCACCTGTCTAGGAAACTAGGTTATTAGTATTTTTTAATGAAGGGGAAAACTTGAGAAATAAAAATATAAAATATAGTAGAATCTAAAACAATATAGTAGATGCTTAATCACATGCTCTGCATGCTAACAAGCTTGCCCTTATTTTATTTTATGTTGGAATTGCAAAAGCTTCGTAGGACTCTCCCACCATTGAGATGGCAGGGTCTATATACCAACTGCTTTACACGGAACTATAAATTCTTGGGATTCTAGATCTTCGACAATTTTAGTTGTTATTCTAGGTGTGGCCTTCAGGATAAGGGAAAGGGGAACAAAGGGGATTAAGATAGGATATGAGAACTGCTCTAGAAGACTGAGCATACTGGTTGTGCCTGCCAATCTGAATTTTTCCTCTTGCAGGTACTGCTGACTATTCGTATGCTTTCTCCAAGATTTTAGCTGATTTTTTCCTTTTGAATACAATCACAGTGTTTGGCATGGCAACAAAAATCTCCTTTGGATGTTATGTAACACAGGCTCTTATAGCTAACGTTCTTTATCCTCAGCACTGACCTGGATAGTTTATATTTCCACAGCTGTGAGAGAGTTTGCTTCTAATTATTTTGGATTTGGGGGTGGATGCCTCTGTGTGTATGATAGAGAATGGTTTAATAGACAAAAATTTTAAAAAGGCAAATACTTGTCAACTTCATTTATCCCTCCCAGCTTTATTTTCAATCTCTAAAGCTGGTGATTTTACCTCCAAAGTAGTAGCTATTTCCAGAATAAATATGCACCCGGGGAGTGTCCTGAGCAGGGGAAGCTGCATCATTATCCAGAGTGAGGGTGATGCGGTTCCTTCTGGCATTGATGCTAACTGAATGCCACAAGCCATCATTCAAGTTGCTGCCTGCAAAAGAAACAGGAAGGGCAAGTGTAAGGATGATTGATTTGGGAGGTTTGGAGAGAGGGGCTTATTTCCTCTTCCTGGCATGGTCCATGTGCTTTCTCTGAGCTCTACCTGTTCTTTGCTTTGCTTAAACCAAAACCTAGCTGCTTCACAGGAGTCATATTTCTCTTTTTATTGCTTAATTCTGTTATTGCTTAATTCCTGTTTAAAGATGGCTGAACAGTTTCTAGTGAATCTGATTTAAAAACAAAAAGACATAACACAAATATGCATGTATACTAATCCCAGGGGAATGCACCATATTAATTGATCTACTTTTTATATAAATACAAAGTTAAGGCTGAAAGCATAACAACTCAAGCCGATTCCAGTGGACTTATCTGCAGCGGTTGGCTTCTATGCATTTTTTATTTTTTCAGAGTGTTTGACACACAACTTCTATGTCTTTCACAAGAAAAAGGAACTAATTTTAAAAGCTAAAATAGAGGAGATAATCTTAGATTTTAAAGAGGTGCATGAGGCAGTCTCCTGTTGGAAAATTAACAAACATTCAATTTAAGGTCCTCCATTTTAAAATAAAGATCTATGGTCTTTATTATTCAGCATCTCATACACATTGTGGATTATCTGTACAATTTATAGTACCTACTCTGTACAGTGTTAACAGGACCATACAGACCTGATATAATACAGAAGTGCTGCTAGAGCAGTTAGAAAATAGTGGCTATTCACTAAAAGTCAATTCCTCCCTGTTTTTTTCCTCTGTAATTTCCTTGGTATAAACTTTACTGTGAACCATTTTACTAAGAACAATATCTGTTAAATTAGTCATAGGAGTTTCAATTATTTCCTCCAAAAAATATGTTCTTTTAAATAAATTAAGTCTCCATGGGGCTGGAGCGATAGCACAGCATTTGCCTTGCATGCAGCCAGCATGGCCGACCCGAGTTCAATTCCTCTGCCCCTCTCGAAGAGCCCAGCAAGCTACCGAGAGTAACTCACCCACACAGCAAAGCCTGGCAAGCTACCCGTGACATAGTCGATATGCCAAACACAGTAACAAGTCCCACAATGTTCCCTGGCCCGCTCATCAGGAATTACTCCTGGCGGTGCTCAGGGAACCATATGGGATGCTGGGATTTGAACCCGGGCCGGACCACATGCAAGGCAAACGCCCTACCTGCTGCACTATTGCTCCAGCCCCATGACCGAGACTTTAACCTGAAAGTTTTGTAACTTTTCCCACAGTGATTCAATAAAAAAATAATAAAAAATAAAAAGTTAAAAAAATAAAATATTAGTTCAAGACATACAAAAGAAAGAAAAGAACAAGGCAATCCAAGAAGAACGTGTAGCGTGAGAATGACCTTGCTGTAGGGTGGGTGGCAGAGGATGTGGACTGAGAGGTGTCAAACTGCACGGGAAGTGAAACACAGTCCCTGAAGACAGAATGAACCATGGCAACCAATGCAGTGAATATAGTGAGTAAAGCTTGGATTAAGAGTTATTTCTGGGTGCTGGAGTGATAACACAGGGGGTAGGGCATTTGCCTTGCACGCAGCTGACCTGGGTTCGATTCCCAACATCCCATATGGTCCCCCAAGCACCACCAGGAGTAATTCCTGAGTGCAGAGCCAGGAGTGACCCTTGTGCATTGCTGGGTGTGACCCAAAAAGAAAAAAAAAGCAAGAGTTATTTCTGGGGAAAAAAATGATATCAGATTTGGTAGAGCTGACTGGAGCAATCCATAAGAAACCAATTGGGGAGAAATCAGAGATGAGGTCTGTGGGGGCTTCTCAGAACAACTGCCAAGAGCACCTGAATCCTCAGATTGTATTTAGAAGCTGCCCAGGGAGAGACACAGCACCAGGCGAGGCCCAGCTGCATTGCCGGGGGCAGCATACTCCATCTGCTCACCACAGCCCAGATGTAAGGGAGCCTCTTTCATTTTCAGCCAGTCTCCTCACAGCCCGTCTTTACTGCAACCCTGAACATCTGCTGGGGTGGAGGAGAAAACTGGGAAACTGTTTAGGCCAGTGGCCCGACTTTCTTCCAAAGGCCAGGGTTTGAGGTCCTAGCAACAGGGACTCTGTTAATGAGGTAGAAGTTCTCTGTCAGGTGTTGCCTGGTGAAGAACATTTGACTTCTGTCAGGGGTAATTGTGGGGCAGAGCAGGCTGTGGACCAGAACTTCCTTTTTCTTTTATTTGCATGCTAATTTAAATGCATCTGCATAGCATATGAGACTGCATCTGCAGATAACTGTAGTCTGGGATAGAAGGGAATCAGTAGCTAATTTAATGCATAGGATGTGAATAACTTCTAAGAGTCGAGCACCCTGAGAGACGTCAGGGATACAATTGGGGGAAAAAGTACACACAGAAACCACGAGGGTGTCCCATGTCATTGGAGACACTTCTAGTCATTTTTTAGATGAAACCAAATTAAGAGAAGAGGCTAATCAATCAGAGTTGGTCGCATCCCTTCCTACATAACTATGCACGTTTCTGTCTAAAATTATCACTTACTGAGGCTTTTCTCCGTTGTTAATTTTTTTTTGTCTGCTTCTCCTTTGGAGTTGATCTCTTTTGATCTTTTTACCCATGGTCCTTAGTCCCTGTAGGGAAGCCTGTATGAAAGTTCAGTTCTTCAGAGGAGGATTATTGGAACATTTGTGCTCAATGCTGACCACACAAAAGGATCGCCTGGGAGCTTTTGAGGAGACAGGTCCCTGGGCCCCACACCAGGTTAATTAAGGCAGACTTTGAGGGTGGCCCCAGTTCCTACAAATTTCAAAGATTCCAAGAGATTCAATTACGCAGCCTGGGTTGAAAGCTACTGTACTGGAAGTTACAGATAGGAAGTGGGGAGGAAGATGGTTGGAAAAGAAAAAGTAAGGCTGATTTAGAGAAGGTAGCCTGGGAACAGATTCCTAAGGAGGCAAAGCTACAGACTCCCTTCTACAGTTCCTCTGACACTCTGTTTTCTACTAAGTACTTTTTCCCATATTTTTCTGTCAATGGCTCACATATAAGCAAGGCTTGGCTTGTTTCTAATTTCTATTGTTTAGTTCATTTTGTGCCTTTTTAAAAATTTATTTATTTTTTAATAGTGAGACATCATGAGGTACTGTTGCAGACTTACACATTTTTGTGCTTGGGTTTCAATTATAAAATGATCAAATCCCATCCCTCCACCAGTGCCCATTTCCCACCACCACGGATACCAGTATCCCTCCCACCCACCCCCATTGCCCCCATCCCCCATTGCCTCTGTAGCAGGCCATTCCCTTTTGTTCTCTCTCTCTTATTGGGTGTTGTGTTTTGCAAAAGAGGCAATGAATGGGTGACAATCATGTTCGGTCTATAGTCTACTTTCAGTGTGGTTCTCCCATCCTGGGAGGATCCTCCCAATACCTTTATTTGATGTTCCCTTCTCTATCTGAGCTCCCTTTTCCTCTAGCATGTGTGGTTGGTCTCCAAGCCATGGAGTAAAATACCTGGTACTAATCTCGGCCATTCTTGGGTGTTAGTCTCCTATTTTGTTACTCTATGTTCCCCAGATTAATGCAATCTTTCTATGTCTATCCCTTTCTTTCTGAGTCATTTCACTTAACATGATACTTTCCATGTAGTATCACTTGTATGTAAATTTCATGACTTCGTCTTTTCTAACAGCTACATAGTACTCCATTGTGTAAATGTACCAAAGTTTCTTTAACCAGTCATCTGTTCTCGGGCACTCAGTTTTTTTCCAGATTCTGGCTATTGTAAAGAGTGCTGCAATGAAAGACAATTGCAGATGTCACTTCAACTATACTTTTTTGCCTCTCTGGGACATATTCCCAGGAGTGGTATTGCTGGATCAAATGAGAGCTCAATTTCTAATTATTTGAGAATCGTCCATACTGTTTTCCAAAAGGGCTGATCCAGCCTGCATTCCCACCAACAGTGAAGGAGTGTCCCTTTCTCGCCACATCCACGCCAGCACTGGTTGCTTTTGTTCTTGTGGATATGGGCCAGTCTCTGTGGGGTGAAATGATATCTCATTGTGGTTTTGATCTGCATCTCCCTGATGATTAATGATGTGGAGCATTTTCTCATGTGCCTTTTAGCCATTTGGATTTCTTCTTTGTGAAAGTTTCTATTCATTTCATCTCCCCATTTTTTGATGGGGTTGAATGTTTTCTTTTTGTGGAGTTCAACTAATTGTGCTGGCAAAACTGGACGGCTACATGCAAAAAAATGGGCTCAGATCTCTGCTTAACTCCATGTAAGAAGCTTCTGCACCTCAAAAGAAACAGTGACCAAAATACAAAGACAGTCTACAGAATGGGAAAGGATATTCGCCAAATATACATCCGATAAGGGGTTAATGTCATTTTGTGCCTTTTAAACCGTTTTGTTTTGTTTAGTTTAGGCACTACACCTAGCAATGCTCAAGGCTTATTGATGGCTCTGTATTCTGGTATCATTCCTGGACATTCAGTGAAGACAAAACGAATACTATAAAGGTTGGGAGGGTTAGAGAGGGAGGGTTCAAATCAGAGACCTGAAAAATAAGTACCTTAATTCCTGAACTATCTATCTCTACAGCCCCCAAAGTTTATTTTTGAAGAAATAGTTATTTTATTTTATTTTATTTTACTTTGCTTTTGGGGGTCTTACCCAGCGATGCTCAGGAGTTTCTCCTGGCTCCAAACTTGGGAATTACTCCTGGTGGGGCTCAGGGTACCATATAGGATTCATGGGATCAAACTCAGGTTAGCCATAAGCAAGGCAAAAGTGCTTGCTATGGCAGGGGGTGGGGAATGGGGGGAGAGGGAAACTGGGGTCATTGGTGATAGAAAATGTACACTGGTGAAGAAATGGGAGTTGGAACATTATATGATCGAAACCAAATGATGAACAACTTTGTAACTGTGTTTCTGTGATTTAGCTAATAAATAAATTTAATCAAAGTGTCTTAAATAGAAAATAAATAAAAACTCAAAATTTTTTG